GAGCACACAGATATCGATGCGATAAGAAATAGAGCAAAAAACTATGAAATAATAGATAATTTATTATTCTATACGAAAACAACGAAACGAAAATCTTGAGTATAAGCCAGTCATCCCAGCCTCGCTTCGATTAAGCATTTTGAAGGAGTTGCACGAAAAAAAAACAGCGGGCCACCTCGGGGTCAGAAAGACTTTAAAAAGGGTACGCGAGGCGGTATATTTCCCGCAATTATACAAAATAGTAACGGCGTATGTCAGGTCCTGCAATCAATGTCAGTTAATAAATGATATTAATTACAGCCCGGCCGGGTACTTAAATAGCATTCGCGCTACATTTCCGAATGAAATTTTAGGCATAGATCTCCTTGGTCCCTTCCCCCAGAGCGAGTTAAATAAAAATCGTTTTCTTTTAGTAATAGTAGATCATTTTTCAAAATGGATAGAAATTGTTCCACTTAAACGCGCGTCAGCCAAAACAGTCGCAGATGCATTCTTACACAGATACATTTTAAAATACGGTGCACCGATAAAAGGCTAACATAGCAGAAAGAGTTAATAAAAACATTGTAAAAATAATTCGCAGTTACGTTAGCACACATCACAAGCGCTGGGATGGCTACATAAATGAATTAGCTTATGCTTTAAGAACGGCACATCATGATACTACTACGGGAAAAACTCCAGCAGAATTATTTTTAGGCAGAAAGTTAATTACGCCTTTAGATAAATTATTCTTTGTGCAACACAAGAGAGCAGGAATTTTAGACAAAAGGACGTGCAAAAACTAATTGATCAGGCGCTTAAAAAAAAATCTCGGATACGGCAAGAAATAGGCAGAAAATTTATTATGATAAAAAACGCCGTGAAGAAGCAGATTTTAAAGTTGGGGATAAAGTATTGAAACGGAAATTTTCTTTATCAAGTGCCCCAGACAATTTTATGGCAAAGCTAGCTCCAAAGTTTGAAGGCCCCTATGTAATTCAGGAAATCAAAGGAGTAGTCTTATATCTTAAAAACGAGAGAGGGGAAATCTGTAAAGCAAGTCCCGACCAGGTGAAAAAATACTATAATCCAAATGATTTTGAAATCCTTAAAAGTTTCTTGCAGGACTCAAGTCTAAACGAAATAGAAGGGCCAGAGACTGCAGCAACTATTCCACCACCCAAGAAACGGAGAACTGAAGAGAGACCTAGCACTTCTACAACCCGGACGTTGGTATCAAAAAGAAAAAATGAGTTTTAAACTCCGGCGTTTAAGAAAAACAAAAATACAGATGAACCGGGTAAAGAAACCGTGGTAAAGACGAAAACACCACCTACAAAAGATGGCAGGAGAAATTACACATCAAGGAGAACGCGCACACGGCCACAGAGTCAGGTGCCAGCAAGGCCGCCGTTCCGGAAACTGAAACGCCAACAGGAGGCACAGAAGTACGAGGAAAAGAAGAAATTCAAGGACTCCAGACCGGAGGACGTCAAGACCAGCCGTCCCAGGCAGAAACGCAAAGGCCAACAACCAGACGATTACTCCGTCAAGAGGCCAGCATGTAGAGGACGCAAAAGAAAGATCAACGGGGACGACACGTGGAGATCAACAAGGAGAAGATTGACATCCATGACACCTCTAACTTGGGATCAATTTTGTCAAAAACGGATGACGGAGTTTCAAGCATCGAAAACTCAAAGATAAGTTAAAACCTTCTATAATTTTTTTTTTTTTCTCTTTTGTTCCGAAATGTTATGCATAAGTACGAAGTTCTATGTTTTGACGAAAGTCAATATGTCTCGGTTGAGACTTAGTTTTGTTTTACTTTATTTAGCTAAGGCAAAAGTATTATTTTCTTTAAGTGTAAAAGCTAAAAACAAGCATTTTCTGTTGGTCGAAAGATTAATTCTGTTATGTTAAAGCCAAAATTTGGCCGGAGATAAAAATAACTTCGTATTCTTGTATTAATAAGAATTTTAGTTTCAGTGCCGCCAGCTTGGCGAAGAATGAGTAAAGTAAAAAATTTATTTTCTCTTATTCATTTTATGGTAAATTGTAAAAAGCATATGTATTAAACTTTTGTAAATGTATGTAAATACTTGCATGTTATGTAAAAGTAGAATTTAGTCTAGAAGCATAAAATTGTAGATGCTAAAAGTGAATGCTTAAAAGCAATGAAGTCAAAAATTAAGTATTAAACTGTAAAGTCATGCTTAAGAGCGAAAGCCTGCATGTTTAAAGATGAATGAGGGGGAAGTTAGAATGAATGTGTTTTGTAGGGTTCTCCACCTACATTTGAATTTTTAAGAATATTAAAGTAGCTCATTGAGTTGTAGAATGTCGAGTAAGGTGTGTCTATTTGGTCGTTGAATTCTAACAAATCATGGTGGTTAGGGGAAGTGTTGTAAGACTAAAACACGAATATTCCCGTTTGACACCACACACGGTGGAGAGCCAGGGTAAAGTTAAATTAATGCTTGAAAAATTGAATGAATGTGAAGTAAGCAATAACTAAGAAAAACGAAACGTTAAAAACAAAAATTTATTGTGTCAAGAAAGTGTAAATTATAATGTATGTAGAAAGATACTGATACTTATTCCTTCCAGATGCTGGAAGGAAAGACCAAGATTGATTGATGAAGTCCAGGAAAAGTTGCTGTAAGAAGAAAGCTTTGTAACGACTAACAGAATTTTAATTGTTACATAAGATTTTTTTTTGTGTAAACGAGGCTTTCGCCAGTTAGTTCAGAATTAGATAAACTTACAACAGGTCGTTTGTAGGACCTGCTTCCAAGTTTTCCAAATTCTGGCAGCGGCAAATGTAGGGTTTATATTTATTTTAACTAACATTTATTTTAAGTTTAAACTATCTTTCCTGCCAAGCCTTACTTTTCCCTGGAACTGCCAATGCCAGAATATGTAAATTTGAGTAGAACGCGCAAGCATTCAAATTATCAGCGGAAGTAGTATGATTTAAATAGAAGGAAACAAGTTCGGTGAGAGAGAGTTATTCTTACTTAGCGAGCGTGGAGGTAGAAATCGAGAATTAAAGAACCCCGCGTTGCGGCCTATGTGCTTGGCGGGAAGTAGTTGCAATTGTTTCAGTGAGCTTCAAGTCTGCTGAATTAGCTGCGGTATTTGTAAAACGCGGTGAGTTAGTTATTTTAGAGAGCCTCGTAGTTAGAATCTTGTCTTTATTTTCTTTTCAGGTTATTATTTTATTTTGACTGCCTAGTTGGCAAAGTTTGTAAGCGTCAAGAGGACGCAATTGTAAATTAGTACGTTGAATAAAAAGGGACTTAAACCCTTTATAAGACTCTGTGGTTTATACAAGCTTTCACAGTCACCTCTTGGTTGCGTGCTAGTTAGAGGCGCGCAACGTTATAAGTTGAAAAATAATAAAGGGTTATTTTTCGCTATTCTTCTGTGCTGTTATTACTGCTTGCCCGGGCGAGAATTCGTCCAGTTGATTGTAAGCTCTAGATTAGTTTATGTGGCCTAAAAAGTCTAGATCTTATAAAGTTCCCATTATAAGGTTTCCAATAAATTGGCTCTTAATGCACTGCATGAAGTTAGAAAGATCTATAACAGATACACCACAAAATTTGAAAAATGTAGATCAGCTTTCATTATATCTAAAGCTAACACTGAAGAGGAAAAAAAGGAGAGACATGATGGACCTGCTAAATTCCTTCCTCCTGTTATACATGATTACTATATAAAATTTAGAATAAATCGAAATGACAAAAACCTTACATATAGCTGATGAAGAAGAAGATATCATTTATATTCCTAATGAATTAATCACAAATAATATGTTATAACGGAACTCATAATATTCATTTTTACGAAAAATCTGTAATAAAAGTACATAATAGTTAACTTTGTCTGTAATAAAAAGCTTAAAAATTTGAACACTGAATTTAACTTTATTAGTTTTCTCGCTTGCCAAATCGATTAACTCCTGCAGTTACATAAAAAATGTAACATTACTGACAATTACTTTTTGGACTCATCACTTGTACTTGAAGGCTACAGACCGAAGTATCCAAAATCTGTATGTCTGGCAGAATTTAAAACTCTAAAGAAGAAAGCAAAAAATGACTAAAATGGCATTCTGCTTTTTTGAGTCTTGGATGGTGAATAAGTGATTTGATCAGACATCTGAACTGATGCAGTCTATACCTAATATGATTTCAATGATCAGTGAAGATAACGATATACGTTTATGTAAACATAAATTCAAACAAATCATTTTGGCATCGACACCAAGCACCATTTACTTGAAGCTTTTTAAATTCATTAGGATGAAGCTGAAATGCTTTTGTTACGTGATAACTGGTTTCAAACACATAAACTTTAGAAAGATTAAAACAAAGTAGTGGTGTAATACCTAAATCGACCATAAACGTCTAACTTATAATTTCTCTTGATTCATTGAATTTCTTTAATTTTTCTTTGTAGGTTTATCATATTAATTAGATTCTCATGATAAAATATCATCTGAATCTTTTCAAGTCTAATTCTATCAAAGTAATAGAACATTAGTAGATTACACAAATTAAGTTTTAGCTATTTTAAGGTTTTAGAGTATTAGACTCTTTACCATTATCTAGAGAAAGAGAATTGCTTAAAATAATTAAAGACGTCTTTGTCAACCAACAAATACCAGCTCAAATTTAATTAAACTTTTATTAAGAAGCATACGAAATAATAAATATATATAGTTTATAAAGTCTTATAGCGTACAGTATAGAAACTTACAGACTTAACATGGTATAAAAAACGTCATTTTAAGATTTAATATAATGAATCACATATCATTCAAAAAACAATATTTGAGCAATCAAAAGGAACATAAATTGACTGAACATTTTCCCATCAGTTGATAAATGATTTGGAAACGAAGTACAAATTTATGAAATGAAAACGCTCACGTATGTTTAAGCTGATATTTTAATTAAATGTGAAGTAGTTTGATTCAAAACTTCAAAAACAGGGATCTAGAGCTGATTCTTTGCTGGGAGTGAGAACAAGGATGAAAAAGCGCACTTCGTGCAGTGTTCGACCCATGTTCGCCGGATGTTTCAGCCTGGCTATTGCTACATGCCGCTTCTGCAGAGAGGCTAAGTTGCACCTAAAACAAATAATTACAAAATTATAAAGAAATTTATAAAAGTTCTTGGATTCTAGTAAGTTACATACACTTCATAAACATAAATAATATATTGATCTGCTACTTTAAAACGGGTTATTTCAAGGTCGGAATGAACCTTCCTACTTTACGATCGTAATGTATGTTGTTATCACCGTGCAGAGGGAATTAGAGGTTACTCAAAAATGTATTATGGAAAAACAAATATATTGAGAAACTGCATTATAAAGAGACAGCATATAATAAAATCTCGACTGCTGTGAATATTTTTGCACAAATATAGCTCGCTGATGTTAGACTTAATAAGGCTTGTTAGGAGAAATTTTATCTGCGTTTTAGTATATACCATATTAAAAATGATGATATTATGATAGTTTCATTTCTATAAATATTGATCCTAGACTTTCCGATTACGTAGCTTCTTAAAATAGGGTATTAAATTTTACAAAGGAAGTTTCTACACTGTGGTAAGGAGAGTTTTTTGGTTAAAAATAATTTCGCACCCGGCAAAAGCGTAAAAATTCCAGTAAGTAAAAATAATTCTGTAAGGATTATGTTAAATTTATTAACAGTTAAATTTTAAGTTAAAGTTCCTTTCCTGTCAACTTTAACTTCAGCTTACTACTTCCGGCCAGAACGTAGTTTTGGAATCATTCTGAATACTTAATGAGGAGGAGCGGTATTTAAACCGCGAAGTCTACTTGCAGAATTAGAGAGAATCAGAGTTTCTGATTTGCGCGCGTCTACCGTTTGGCTACTCTCTCTCTCAAAGCTGTTATTACGCTCGGCCGTACTCAGGCCCTTGATAAGCTTCGTAGTTAAATAGAGTTAAGGGGCCAACTCGTTTAGAATCTTGATAGCTTCGGCTATGTTTCTTTAGTTAATCTTAGTTTTAGTTAATTTCTTAGTCTTTTAAGTTCAAACCCAAATGTCGGCTTTTATTGTGCACTCCAAGATGGAGTTTTGTTAAATCTTATTGGAATAATAAAGGGTTAGGTACCCTTCCTTCTTGTTGTTTCTTGTTACACGAACTTAAGCGATTATTCGCTAACTAGTTCTTAAGATTCGTCACTTTTTACAGTACTGAGAATTACACTAGTGAGAATCTTACAATTCATATGTCTTAATTATTTAAAAGCAAAATGTTCCGCAACTTTGAGCTCAAAATTCGTTAAGGTGCTTTTAATGTCAGCCTAAATAAACGAATTAGGTATAAATTATACTATGAAAGCTGTTTTAGTCAAGGCGAAACTGTTAATAGCCAAATAAATGGCTTCCGTTACGCAGCTGCTTTTGAACTTGATCTACATATCTTGATTTTAAATCAATAATAAGCATGAGAATTTATTTAAGTCAACAAATTTCAAATATTGGGTGTGCAAAAATTATTGTGTTTTTCAATAAAAGAATTCGGTTATATTGTAAAATGCATTTATTGAGTTTCAGTCAATAACACCAACATACTCTCCATTACAATCTGAAAAGTTTCGCATTTTATAGAGTAACTTTCCCCGTTTCTTTCCTGTAAAATTCCTCGCTTTTTTAATTTTGAAGACCGCTGGGAAAATTTTATACTCCACTGAAGTTTTGTAGGCAACTGAGAGAAAGTTTACATTTGGTGCACAGCTGTTCCTGAGGAAAATTGTTTTATGACCCAAAGAGGTTGCATTCTCTTGAAACATAAAGACAATATGACGATGTAGTATGAGCTGTCGCCCAAACTCTTATAACTCCTGAGTCTTACTCTTATAACTCCGGGCAAATGAATAAAAGCGCTGAACATTAGTAGTCCGACTTGGCTTCAAATACTAACTAGCTGGGTGCATGGGCGTTTACATGTTTTTCTCCATGTGTAACATGACTAGTTTCTTTCTCCATGTGTAACCAGTTTCTGTTGGAAAGCATTCAAGAAAGGTATCCATCCCTTTAGGCAGATGGCACTAGCGTACTTTATCATGATCACTTCTTAGTGTCCGAAGAGATGTGTGAGACCTTATGTTGTTCTGACAGAATACTATTCCTTAATAATTCATCAAAGATGGGCGCGCATTTTTAGAGCATAAAGAAAATTTTTAAGATACAATCTTCACTTAAAATATGATTTGGCGGTAGAAAATCCCAACTGGTATCTCCTCTGAAATCTCTTCAAACACTTAATAGAATCTCTTTTGGCGTAATCCTTGTTTCGTGGCAAATACTGGAGAATCGGGCCTGCAAAGAGTCTGATGTCGTTTGCCACTACTGTAGAGGGTGTCCGCCGAAAACATCGCGGCGAAAGCATCGCGCACGAAAACGTCGCGGTCGAAACAACGCAAGGCGAAAACGTCGTAACACAAAACATCGTGGGAGAAAATAAAGCAAAGAGAAAACATCGCAGTTCTAAAGTATCGTGGTAGAAGATATCGTCGTCAAAAATAAAGCAGTTCAAAAACTTTGCAGTTTAAAAACATCGTCGTCGAAAATATCGTGGTAAAAAATAAATTACCTACAAATCATCGCATGACGATAACATCGCAGAAATGCGTTTTTCATGTTTTAATAATTGTAAATGGATATTCACATAATGATTTGGGAGCGCAAAAAGAAGGATATTGGTGAAAATATAAAATGAAAACTTAGCATAGAAAATTAATGCAACTTATAGCACTTAATAAAATTTTAAATTGACATAGTTAACTAAGAAAGGTCATTTACAATTTTTTTTTTCGTAAAGTTTAAAAAAGATTAGAAAAAGGAAGGTAAGTAACTGCATGCCCTTATCTATAAAAATTGCTAAGTTTATTATGATATTATTTTCTTCACTTTTGTTAATCTGATACTATTATATGAAAATTATTTATTTTTTGTTTAAATTTCTTGCTTTATTTTTTATAAATTTATTAGTTAATAAAAATATGAAAATAAAATTTATCCTTCTTTCCATCCTGCGTCCACAAATCATTATGCGAATATCCATTTACAATTATAAAGCCTGAGAAACACAATGCAATGTGTGTAATGTTATCGCCATACAATGTTTTTTAGGTGCTTTATTTTTTACCACTGAGAAGTTTTTGAACTGCTTTATTTTCGACGATGATATTTTGACGAAATTCGACTACGATGCTGAGAGCGTGAAAAAAGAGCAATGCCTTCGCCGGGACACAAACCTCTCGAATATGTGCCGAGTGTGCTGACCATTACTTTACGAAGGCATGCTAAAAAGGCGGGAGAAATACCTTATATACTCCCCCTTTTAAAGGGCGACTGGGTATTAGGGGACCCAATCGCCCAAATCCTGGTAGTGGAGAATCAAAATCCACCACCTTTTTTAGTTCGGGCGCCACTGTAGAGACATTAGTTTTTCTTTGAAGTAGGAAACATGAAAAATGAGCAATATCCTCCCCGGGACTCGAACCTCGGACCCCTCGAATACACGCCGAGTGTGCTGACCATTACGCCACAAAGGCATGCTAAGGAGGCGGGAGAAATACCTTATACCCAAAAAGTTTAATTAAGTGTATCTAGAGTAGATGTGATTGCATGAGGAATATTTTCATTTCCTTTGGCTACTTCAGCTCTGAAAAATATTTCTGTCATTGACATTCTTTTACAAAGCGCACATAAAAATTTATGTTTCTGTCATTTTTAATCAAATACATCATGCGCTGAAACTTGCCGTCATTTAAAAATTCACTTTATTTGATTTATTTCTTAACCTTGGATCTACGAAGAGCTGAAAAAAAGGTATTTAATAGCATAATCGCTTTTGAACACCCTGTGCTTGCTGAAAATGATTAACGACACATTTTTCCTGAAGTGTTAGGAAGCAGAGAAATTTATAACTTCGCAGGTAAACAAAAAGTACAAAAAGTTAAAAATGAAGGGAATTCGACCAGAGATCAAAACTTGTTAAAAGAGTTGGTACCTATTAAAATATTAACTAATATCATTAGAATGAGTAAGATGAAAATATAAACCAAAAGAAGCTCTCTTACATCTTCTAAAGAGTTCTTTCGACTGTGAATCAGACTGCTGACTCCCAAGTTTGATGGAAAAATTACTCTTGGAAGTCATATAACAGAGTTTAGTGGTCACGTTAACCCTATATGTTGTTTTTTGCTCTATTTAAATTGGATTATACTTGAAAGTTTTAACAAGAGCAGGAATGCAAATCAGGACTTGCCGGTTTGCAGACGAGGAGCGATAACAACTAACACATAGAAGTCGTTGACCATTCCTTAGTGTCTGCTTTTTATCTCTAAAGGGTTCATTTGAAAATTTAAGTTTGATGCATTTTAAGCAAAGACTATCACAGGACTAAACTTATCAAACGTTTATATACACATTTTATTTTTCATTATTGTACATGAAACTGCCCTAAACATAAACATTTCACTCTTACAATTTTGTGCTGATAGATTCAAATTTAAATCATCTACGTGTTGGAAAATCATGACTGACGCTATGAGCAACACTGTCAAGCGAGAATACGGAACATCCACCTCACCCTGGTCAACTTAACAGGTTTGATTAACTGCACCGGTTGAGTAACTTCTTTGCGATCAACACGCAAAAACCATAATCTGCATTTTCTGTCGCGGCTTTCGATTATTCTTTCAAAAGGAGAGGCCATACATCCTCTACAGAAATACCAGATTTCCTTTCCTAATGGAAACTAATTTGTGGATATTGTATAGTATTTGATGATAACTCGTAGTTCCTGAAGATATTCTTTAAATAATCTCTTCCTAAATATATTCAACAAATCTTACTGCATCCTATGATTTTGCGTAAGTTTCGTGTTTTCGGATTGGACTTTCGATGGAAGTTTTGTCAGTTTCTGACCAGTTAGAAAATGGCTTGAAGTCAAGGCTTCTTCGGAATCGTCATTTCCTCCCTCATACACTAATGACTGCTGTTCAGGGAGACTTCTAGCTCTATTAACGCAACAGAGAGTGCTTCTTCATTTAGCAACGAGCGACCAAGCGATTTTCTAAGATATCCTTTAGTTAATCCTATTGAAAGTTCCCACCAAAATCCTCGTGGCACCATAAATTTTCATTCAATGATATTTGTAGAATAAAAATTTTGGTCTGTATTATCAGTTACGGCGTTTCAGAGAGAGGCTAGGTTTTTGTCTGCCGCGCGGAAGGTGGTGGCGTTGTCAGTATACATAGATGGTGTGAGGAAGGTCCTCGTCGACCAATAAATCTCTGAAGTGTCACTTCGATCTTATCAGTTTTCACGCCCTAAATGAGTTCTAGATGCAAAGCTCGAGTAGTTGAGCACGTGAATAGCACAACAGATGCAGTATTCAAGGGTTGCGTACTGCTTGCTAGAACATGACCAGCATAATGAGGAAGACAGTAATATTTAGAATCTCAAACATTATCATTACAGGCTAATTTGACCTGGTTCATATTAATATAATCTTGTATGCATTCCATATAAACATGCTGTAAATTTGGATTAATAGACAGTTTTCTGCGCAAGAGTTGAAAACGTTTCAGGGCCACACTGTAACTGTCGGAAGATGGAATGACATCTTGTTTCCATGGCAGCTTCACAACTGGATGTCCCTCTGTGATTTTGTAGGAATTGTGGAAACTTTTTCAAATTTCTTCATCATTAGTGGACGTTTCTCTGCCTTGAGAAGGTTTAATTTTTATTTCTAAACCGCCAAAACTTCTAACACCTTTATATATTTTGTGCGTGGCAGTTGGTGTATTAACATTATTAATTACGGCTAAAGAAGAAACAGCAGTTTTAGAACGAGATCCGCTAATAATACAACCAAAAATAGAAGGCACCATGTCAAGAGTTTCCGTTAATTTTAGAGGTGGATAGGCTTTGACAACACTCCAATAGAAATCTACACCAGTCAACACTTATATATAGATATGTTATTTGACGTATGACAAGTATGAGCAAGTTTCAATTTCTGTTTAAGAACAAGACGTATAATATCTTCTGGTGCAGTGGGATGATATGCATGAGTTTTATTGCTTTCAGATACCGTTAGGGTGACTGTAGCTTTATTCCAGATGTCGGGCACTTCAAGATGTACTTCACGCCTAGGTTGTGCAATATATGAAGAAAACTCAAATGCTGGAACTTGAGGTGTATCCGAACTGTTAACGTGTAAGTTTAGTGTGTTTACGAGATGTGGATGAAAAAAAACTGGACCACCTTCCACTATCTAAAATGCATCGAATTAATTTAGTAACGTCTGTTGACCAGTGACATAGAGTCAAGCAGTTTGCAAATGAGTAATGTTAGGAGCAAATATACCTCTTTGATTAGTAGAAATTCCGAGAGGAACTGGAACGATATTTGGACTTTTGCAGATTGAAACGTGGTTCTTCTTTCTGCATTTAATGCAAAAGGCCTTTTCTTTGCATGCGCAATTTTTAAAATTATGTCTTCGATTCGTACACAAGAAAAATCTACCAGCACTCTTAGCTTTTGAATACGCGTTTCAATATCAGTTATAGTTTCACAGTTTTGAGGCCAGTGCCCATTAATATTACAGAATGGGCAAAATTATGATGGTTTCTTTGAACCATTTTCATTTTGGGTTTTATAGTTAGTATTTAGAGCTGCTGCAGAAGAAGAAAATATATAATCAAATGATTTCTCACTTATCTTTTGAACAGTAAGTGCTCCTTCCATTTCTTCTGCGAAAAACTGTCAAAATGCTGTATTATTCTCTTCCGAAACTTTCGCTCTTTTGACATGAATAAACCATCTTCTACAAATGCTATTAAATAACAAACATAACGGCCGTATCCTTCGAAATTTTCTCTTAAAGCAATTAAATCCTGCAGCCTTTGTTACACTCGATGAAAACTTCATTCAAGGCTGTAGGTGATAGATGTCTTATTGACTTAATAATTTCCAAATATTCAAGGTGAGCTTGAATTATTCTATTTTTATCACCATATTTGCAACAAGACGTTTTTGTTTGTAGTTTCATAAGTATCTGCGATAATATTTATTCCATCAACTAATCTCTTTGTTTCTTCTACTAAGTAACCGCTAAAAAATACATACTTATCAATGGCTGAAAATTTTGGGTTACCTTCGACATAAGATACAACTGTTCTTCCTCTCCACGGAATGGTTCATGTTTAACTACAGGTAACTTCACAGGAATGCGAAAATGGCTTCATAGGAATGCGAAAATGGCGTAGGAGTCCTGGGAAAGCACATTAGTAACGAGAGCGTTATTAACAGCTGCAGGTAAGACATTCTGAACAGCTGTGAGAACAGCAAAAATAGCGAGTTTGACACTGGCTATATGTTCTTCACATTGTAAAACATCAGATTTATATTAATCTTCGGAGAATAAATAGGGACTACTATTATCAAGTAATTTCCTTTTACTCAACAAATCCTAAAGTCGAGCACAAAAATATACTAAATCATCATTGTTAGCGTCTGTAAACTTTATAATAAAGCAAGTAAAATCTGATTTAACAGTCTTTCATTTTCGTTTAAGAAGCGTAGTAGCATCCGTTACATTCAAATGGCGTTTAAAAATGCACAAGGAAAGAAAGAAACTTAAATTAACACAAGGAAAGAAAGAAACAGAAATTAATAAAAATAACAAAAACGAATAAATTTTATAAGACTTACATGGCACACAGCCAAGACTGATCGTAATCGAATCCCCCTCCTTCGCTTACATATGTTCCTTGTATGGTACGGGAGAGTAAATGCACTGAAAAAAAAATATTTATCATTCACTTCAGAAAAAACTGCATAAACATCATTCACTTACGCTTGAAATAATATATCTTAAATATAAGCTAATTCTATTTAACTCAATTACTAGTGGTCAAGCATTTGGAGTATTGCAAAATATAAAAAAAAAATTATACTGATACTTAAGTCAATTTCAGATAAAATTAAATAATATTTTACTTAGAAAAATTATTTTCATATGAATTTGGGTATACTAATTTCAACAAAATATTGGTTGTAATAACAGAAAACCAAAATTAGTTTCATTTACTCACGGTTCCCGAGAGATGCAAATCAACCCCGATATAACGAGTAAACATCAGTATCAGAAATTCTTCTGATTCTTTGATACTTTGATACGAACGTGATTATGCAGGGTTTCTACTGCGGCAGCAGTACTTCCCTGCAACCTGAGACATTTCCACAATGGACATGGTGATGAGGTTTACGTGAGTAGATACCAAGATGGGATATCAGCATTCAAAATGAAAGAAAATTACCCCAAAACATGGCTTGGGGAAGTGAAGAATCTGCTGGAGATCTTGGAGAAGACCAGTACTTCCAAAAGTCGTTACCCACTGAAGGGGAGTTGGAACCCCAAAATCTTCAAAAAATTGTGATTTCGGATTTTTGCATTTTCAAATTCTCTACACTTTTATCTTTCTAACAATACCATTAATTTCTATGAAATTAGAACTGTAAAAAAATCTAGTTTCAATTTGTGATCTACTGCTTTAATCAATGAGGATTTTTACATAAAAACGGGTTTTTCTCCAAACGTGATTTTTTTATACTCGATTTACCTTTTCTCAGGAACTACTGCTCACAGGTATCTAAACGTTTTACAGCTTATTTATTAGGTTCCTTAATATTTACTGAAATGAGCTTTTTGTAATAAACTTAGAAAAAAAATTAAATTTTTTTTTTGTGTGAGAAAAGTGCTAAATTTTACTATGCCTAACAAAATATCCTGTAATTTACTCTAAAATTCAAAATGTTTCAAAAGCTCATTTCAGTATAATCAGATAGGTATACTTTAATTACAGAAAAAATTTCAAGCTTGTATCTACAGCAGATTTTGAGAAAAGGTACATCAAAAATGGCCAATTTAACATTGTCGGTATAGGGGTTTCTGATACCCCTTAATATCGAAGTGACGATCTGTGGATCTGTAGGTCTATGCTCTATCCTTTCGGTACTCTATTGATACTCGACGCTTGTGAAAATATGAAGTGACTAAGAAGCATATCAGGAACTTGTGTGGAGAAAGCATTCAAAATTTCATAGTACTTTCCAATAAGTTAATAATGAAAGTGCAGAACACGGGTTAATTCTGCCATTCACTCGTGTTGAGATATTTGTAATCGCATTCTTACTCGTTAAAAGAAGTATAGTTTTCTGTCAAGTCCGATGCATTAGCTTTCAGTCAGGTTCGAATTATTCTGAAACTTAATGCCATTCTTTATGTTATTTTTGATTGGTTGTTTATTGTGTCTTGTTTATGATTTGTTAAACCATGATCTGTTGTAAAGTTATATGTATATGCTCTGTAAAAGTGTGATGTCATCTTTTACAGAGATCTTCAAATTGATACTATACAAAATTATATCAAAAAACGTGCAAGAAATATTTTCCTTTCTGTACTATTACATCCAAACAGCTGTAGCAGTTCTTTGCGATGCTCACCTTTTCCTAGAGAAAAACACAAATATCCTTCGGATATTCTTATCTAACATTTTGTTAATTAGCATTTGAAGTACTTACTACTTTACTGATCCAACTTATTTTCACATTGTTTGTCTATTTTCATTCATTACATCTTCCTTCGCCGACTGATGACGGCTAAGTGAAATATCCCATTTTACAATCTCGATTCTTCTTATCATCCTTTTGTTGTTCCAGACATTCATTTATCTGATGCAGAGTAAATGCGCGCTGTCGCGCGCTGTCACTCTCTTTCCATTCGACACAAGTCAAGCTGTCACCTTCATTTCTTTAATATATTAAGTCAAAACAGCTAAAACTATCTCATCCCACGTTAGACTTTGGACGCTTTCTCCACTGATAGAACTGATAGAGCATAGACCTACAGATACGCAGATCGTCAGTTCGATATTCAGTGGGTAACGACTTTTAGAAGTACTGGTCTTCTCCAAGATCTCCAGCAGATTCTTCACTTTCCCAAGCCATGTTTTGGGGTCATTTTCTTTCTTTTGAATGCTGATATCCCATCTTGGGATCTACTCATGTAAACCTCATCACCATGCCCATTGTGGAAACATCTCAGGTTGCAGAGAAGTATTGCTGCCGCAGTAGAAACCCTGCACGTTCGTATCAAAGTATTAAAGTGCTGTCATTCGAGAAGGTTGCTTTTCGTCTCGCTTGCTGCTCCCGCTCGGATTTTCGTTTGCGACTCAGCGCACACCTGCGTTTATACGACTGGGTGATCAAACCAGCCGTTCTACGTTTGGATTACAGCTGCTGCGCCTGTTTACCGGGTTTTTCTTCAATCTTCTTTTTCTCTCTGATTTCAATTATATGTGCGATCGAATTGATGTTGCATTTCATTTAATCTCAAATTTATCTGCTGGAAGAAAAGCGTCGTAAGGAAAATTCACTTGACGAGATGTCAGATAACTACTTCGCTACTTTCATCTATATGCGCAATGCCTAAAACAACAAGTTCCCGTTCCTGCATCAAATCCCAAGGATAGCAGCAGCAACACCCAAGACTCGTCACTGACCGCACCTGGGAAACGTGTCAGAAGCCCATCCCTGGAATTTTACAATAAATTTGAGATTTTGGAGGACATTACCGAGCAGAAAATACAAAGACCTTCCTCTCAAAAATTGAGTAAGAGACGCACCAAAGCTTCAAAGTTTAAGCGCAGGATTTCCAAGCTTAAACCAGCTATTTCCGCAAAGTCCGTTTCGCAGGAAAGCCGTAAAGCTAAGTGTGCCTTATCCTCGGAGGAAGAGAGCTAACTGTCCAGGCTCCTGCGCCTCCACGTTCTAACGAGCAGACTGCTGAAATGGAACCACCACCCACCCAGGATGACCAGGAAAGCGGATTTCAATATCCCAGACGTATCTCTAAGCTACCTCCAATAATTATTCAAGATCCCAGCCTAACCTGGAAGAAACTGAATGACATGTTAAAAAAGGCAAAACTCGACTTCAAAGCGAAGATGAGAAGTGATTTTGACTTCGAAATTAAAGTTTTCTTCAGTGACATGCACCGTCAGATTACGGCGTTGCTCTATTCTAAGGAAGTGAAATATTTCACCCATATGCTTCTTGATGATAAAATACTGAAAGTGGTTATCAGAAGCATTCCTTCCTATACGGAACTTACTGAAGTTGGTGTAGCTCTTACGGAGCTTGGATACTCAGTCAATCGAGTAAAACAACTAACCAGACACCGAAGAACCTGACATTCAAAAGATTCCGCTCTATCTGGTTACGCGTCCCAGATCAGACAAATCATGGACTATCCAGAATTTAGAATACTTAATGCGACTACGCATCAACGTAGAGGATTACAGGGGCCGACGCCGTCCCATTCAATGCCACAGATGCCAGAATTTTCGTCATGTGCGTGCCAAATGCGACCTATCACCACGCTGTGTTAAGTGCGGTGGGGGTCATGAATCTCGATCCTGCACTAAACCGCCTTCTGAGCCGCCCACCTGTGTCAACTGCGGTCAGGGACATACTGCTTCCTTTCGTGGATGTGTATACCTTCCCGAAACCGGGCGGTCTTCCCCTGGAAATAATCTTTACTCAGAGCGTGTTATCATGAACAGTTCAGCCTTCCCTAGAGCAGTAGTCATCCGAATTAGCTGAGCTCTCTGCAAAGCTTGAAGAAGCCAAGTCTGTGATCGCAACTCTCACTACTGCAATTGCAATGCTAAAGGATACTACATCTCAGTCAACTTCAGTCTCATCAAAACAATCATGCCTTCCCAGCTCCAATATGAATAGTTCAACCTCATTTGCTCCTATCTCCATTGGACCTGGACAGTCATGCTGGTTAAGGAAGTGATGAAATTCGTGCATTTTTGTTGCAAGATTTTGGGACTCCATTGGCATGCCCAAAATCCTGCAACAAAAATGCACGAATTTCATCACTTCCTTAACCAGCATGACTTAGATATTTGTCTAGTCACTGAAACGCATGCTGTGCCTAGACACAACCTGAAAATAGCAAATTATCACACTTACAAATGTGATCGGCTCCGACACCGTGGTGGAGGTGTTCTTAGATATGACAAGCGGTCTTTGTGCTCTGGACTTATATCCACAGACAATTCAAAAGGCTTTGAAATCGTATGTACAAATGTAAATATTCCTAAACTAGGCAACGTTAGATTCTGCGAAATTTATAATCCTTCTGACAATCGCAGAAGACCTGCAATACTATCTCAGTAATCAAACCCCCACAATTATTGGAAGCGACTTCAACTCGAACCACATCGACTTGGGATGCAACCACAATAACGCAAATGGGGAATGTAATTCACCATTACGTGGAAAACGAACCTATTTATATGTTTGTACCAGATCAGCCAACCTATCGTTCAAACACCCTCAACAGACGCCCTGATATATTGTACTTCTTCATTGCAAACTTCAATCTTCCCTTCTCTATGGAAGTGATTACGGATCTATCTTCGGATCACCTACCTGTACTAGCAAGGCTCGGTGTTAACAAGCCTAATTTTACTCGCCCAAGGAAATTAACAGATTAAAGCTTTTCTATAAAACTGCATTGACATCACCAATTAATATTGGGAACCTAAGGACTCCAGAGGATATTGACACGGCTGCGAAAAAATTCTCAGAAAAATTGAATGATTTCCTTCTTCAGGCCACCACAGAGAAGATCGACTCCTACACTCACGGTACCCTCCCCTCACACATCAGATCAATCATCACCCTGAGAAATAGGACCAGGAAACAATTTAACCGCACCTG